ATATTGTATATATATATATATATATATATATATATATATATATATATATATATATATATATATATATATATATATATATATATATATATATATTATATTTAATATATAGTATATTGTGCACATTGTGGTAACCATGAACAGTATCATTCATTCATTTTCTTGTTGGCTTAGTCCCTTTATTAATCCGGGGTCGCCACAGCAGAACGAACCGCCAACTTATCCAGCAAGTTTTTACGCAGCGGGTGCCCTTCCAGCCGCAACCCATCTCTGGGAAACATCCACACACACACTTATACACTACGGACAATTTAGCCTATCCAATTCACCTGTACCGCATGTCTTTGGACTGTGAGGGAAACCGGAGCACCCGAAGGAAACCCATGCAAACGCAGGGAGAACATGCAAACTCCACACAGAAACGCCAACTGAGCTGAGGTTCTATGAAAGTAAATCAGTAGCAATACTCGAGAGCTTGCAAATGTAAATGTGAGCACTTGTGATAAGAATATTTGTATGTGTAGGTTGAAATGTACACTTACAGCTCTGATGTGAACAGCTGAAATCCTCGATTTGCACACACACACAACAATCCACACACTTGTGTTTTGAATTGGAAGTTGCAGATTAATAGTTGTGTATTTGTAAAATGTCATTCACAAATACAAAGTGACAGACACACGTGTGCAAAGCAAATTTGACTGCATCTTTGCTCTACAACCACAGGTCGGCACTCACAACCTCTCAGATTCGTCAGTACAACTACAAATCTCCCGCGCTCTGACTTTTGCTACACATCTCCCGCGATCTCTGTAGCAGAACCAAGCGGCAACCTCCCGCTCTCCCCCGTGAAGCCAATACGGAAGTAACTAAAACTGCAATTCATCGACTCGCCTTGGGGGGCTGGCTCCAGGAAGTGCAGGTCATTTCTGACTGCAATGGGAAATTGGCCATTTTTACCGCTGATAAAAACATGTTTAAAGCCTGGTACATTTGATGGTTTTAGTGCATATAGCTAGCGTTACCCTTCATGACAACTCTGAGGGGGGTGAATTTTTTTATAACTTATTCGTTT